TGACTAAGGCCCATGATCCTTCAAGTAAGGATCCTTCTTAAGGATTTTTCCCAGCCTCACCGCAGTCCAAACTTTGCCGACAGGCAAGTGCTGAGATTCCGTGACCGCATGTCCCTCCACCTGACCATCGAGAACAGCCTCGGTGCATGGTTTGCAGCTCTCGGTCAGCGCCTGGACCAGGTGCGGTTTACAGCTTAGGGTTTAGGGCACAGTCTGACGCCACTGCTGCTGCTGCTGCCTTGCCTCTGTCTGCTCCTTCTCCGACGCCTCTTCCTCAGAGTTTAGCAGGGTCTATCTAGCTTCTTTTTAGGAGCGGGGTCAGGCCATCGCAGTCGCCGGGCCACCAAAGCGCGCTGTAGTGGAAGCTGGGCCGATGGAGACTGGCCTCCGCAGCGTCGTGCAGCCCGGAGTACCCCGAACAGTGCTCGCACGGCGAGGTGAGGATGTCCTGCCCTTGGCACTTTCCTTCTATGGAGGAGCCGCGGCTTGCAGACCAGAGCTGATCTAGTCACTAGGAGCCTTGGAGGGATCACCTGGCAATTCTGTTTGCAGGAGTTGAAAGCTTGCCACAAGCATCGCAGATGCTGTTCTGCGAAGATGGCATGGCCTGGCCGCAGTTGGACGCCTTTCTGGCACGCTGCAAGCACATGGGTGGCCTGCATTGCCTCGTCCAGGTTCAGCGTCTGTCATACTCCATGCAGCACAAGCTGGTAGACCGAATCAAGAGCGGCTGGCTCGGAAGCTCTTTCCGCCTGGTGATACTCGCCATGGCAGAGGACGACACACAGGTGCACACCTTGCGCGAGATTCCTCCACAATCGGCGCATTCTTTGTCTCCCGAGGGTGTCGAAGACTTCGTTCGAAAGCTGGCGCCAAGCCTCATGGTCGTGACCTCGGAGGAGGCAGGCTGCGGCAAGACGGAGACGATCCGACAGCGTGCCTTTGCCCAGCAGAAGGTCCCGGTGACGATACCGCTCCTTCGTCATACATAGTTGAGCAAAATTTTGCTTTTTGTGGATACTTGAACCCAATAAGGAATAGACATACTATCCCAGCCATGAGTGAGGCTCAGTGGACCCTTGGATGTGGCAGAGTTGGTTCGCCGCCTTTTGGAGGTCGAGAGGGGCTTTTTTCCCTCGCTGGGAAAGACAAGCGCTTTTTGTTTACATAACATGACTAAAGTTGACAACAGAGTCCAGGACTGCCCGTAACATAGAAGCCAGAATAATTACCAACATTATTCTTAGGGCTCCTTGTCATAATGCTCACATAGACTGGGTCCCTGAGTAGTACCCTTTTGCCCTTGTTCTCTTCGGGTTCCCTTGTTAAAGCCGAATAGTAGGAAAAAGGTTACCCTTATTGCAAATGGCCTACTTAGGAACCTACCTAATACCAAAACCCTAAACACTAAACCCTAAACCCTTTACTGTAGCAAGGAGGAAAAGGGCCTTCAAGAAATAAAAAAAACCTAAAGAGTTCCCAGGACTCCTTGTAGTTGATCGCAAGCCGCAGGTGGATTGGAAGCCCTTCCATTGCCTACATCTTGACATCGGCCCTACTCTCCAGCCAGAAACCTGGGTTTGGAGTACCATACTTGAATATTTGTTGGGTACCTGCTCCTTAAAGGAACCATTATGAAAAGAAAGTCTACACTTTTTCTCCCTAGTTACTTCAAAGTCCAGGAAATGCTATCGGACACCCTGACTCAGCTGAGCCTTTGGGGAGTTGTGCAAGCTGCCCAAGCAGACGGAAGCATATGTGTCCTACCTTGCAGCACTACCTTTGTGGAGCTTGCAAACCTCTCAACAGGACTGCTTCTCGACCTTCCATTTTGTCGCTTGGTGCCGCCGAAGAGGGTGCGATTCGAGATGAGGGCCTTTCAGGTCTCCGACAATCCCCGGAGTCCTGTTCAGGCGGTTTGTTGCATGCTGGATGCTCTGGATCGGTGCACGCTGAACTCCCGCGAACCGAAGATCGGGGTCACCGCGCTCCCGGAAGCACGCTGCCAAGATCTCTTGCAGGCTTGCGTGGTGCGTCGGATGCAGCATGCCTCCATCTCCTACACGTTGATGCTGGCGCTGCTCCGAGTACTTGCTGTTCAGTTGGTCAGCTTCAGCCATTCTGCATACTTCGACTGCAAGATGTTGAAGGAGCTGCAAGTTTGGCTTGTTCCCGTTATCCTTATGATTTTCTTGTATCATCAGTGTCGGCAAGTAGTCGCGAAACCTTAGGCCGAAAATCTAGACCCTAATGCCCTAAACTGTTCAGGAGTTGCTGATAGCGGAGGGACGTAAATATTACTTTAAGAAGAAACCGCTGGCAAGCATTCGAAAAGTCCCTTTAAAACTAAACCCTAAACCGTTTAGGCAACCCCCGGCTGATCATTGAAGGAGCTCGGGCTCAAGGAGTCTCTGCGGAGCCACCTCGTGGAGCAAGCCCTGGAGGCTCGGTTGTCCCCCTTAAAACTAGGAATGCACCCATAAATCATATGATGGTTCCTTTCATAATGTAAGGGTAGTCCTTAAAGGGTTTCGCATGGCTCCACACATAGGGGATGCGGGGACTTAATAAGTATGAGAATAAGTAAGGTAACTATAAGTCAATTCTACTTGAAAGCCTACTTAAGGTACTTATAACCCGACTTTCTAAGTCCCATCATCCTCCAAGCCTCCAAGTAGTGCTGCCTTCACGGAGGATTCAGTGTTCTTTTGAAGGTTCTAGAAGGGTGCAGGCTTCCTAGAAAGGTTTTGAGGTTGTGCTTTAAAGGATTCTGCAAGAGTTGTGGGGTGTCTGCCTCGGGTTCCTTTTCGAGTTGTATAAGTAGTTTTAAAGGGGGTTCCTTTAAGGGATTGATGAGGGTTTCGGCGTGTAGGGTCTAGCATTTGTGGCAGGGCTGTTGCTTTTTGAGGTTTTGGGTTTTCCTGCTTAGGTGTTGTCTGGCTCCATTGCTGAGTAGCCAGATCTGTTAGGGCGTCTTCCTTAAAGGATTCCTGTTAATTCAGCCTATATCTCATCCCCACAGACAATGCTTGACACGTCGCGTCAGACTGATTGAGAGCCGCACGGCATCTGCAAGATTATGAGCTTGGCAGAATTGGGGTAACACGCATGCTTAAGCCTAAACCCCTTGTCTAGTTGAATTCCTAAAAAGCGTACTTGGAGGATCATGGGACTTAGTAAGTAGGGTTGTAAGTAAGGTAACTATGGTTAGATCTACTTATAACCTTAATTAAGGTACTTATAACCCTACTTACTAAGTCCCATGATCCTCTAAGTAACCTCGCCTTGAGGCATGCGCAAGCTTCATGGCACGCTCGGTGGCTGCAAGCAAGGCGTCTCTGCTCGAATGCCTTAGATCCCAGAGACTCCAACATCCCTCAAAAAAGGAATATTCCTTAAATTATGGTAGGATCCCTAATATGGTTTAAGGAATATTCCTGGCTGAGGGGATATTGGAATCTCTGGGTTGGAGGGTTTTGTTAGCGTCATTTTACAAGGGCTCTATTGGGGGTTTAGCAGGGTTCAGCTGTAGGGTTCATGCTTCAATGTAGAGCCCTGGGTTCCTGAAGAGCCTGACTGTTAGGATCGCGATTAAAAACTCAATTAAGGCAGGGCGGTTTGCCAATCGGAGGGTGCTTTATTAATCGGGCAGTCGGGGGTCTGCACCTCTGTTCTGACTACGAATAGTCAGCAACTCCAACACTCCTATTATAGATAAAAGAAATTTTTGGTGAAATTTATACCAAATTTTATTGAAAAAATTTGTCGGGACGACAGCCGGTAAAACTGCAATAGATTTTTGTTGCAGCTTCTGTTCGAGAATTCTGTGTCCTTCTTTACATGCTCACTTTCGCCAAACAGGACCTGCGACGCAAACCTGCCCATATCCTAGAGTGCGAGGGTGCAAGAACTGTCCAAATTAGGGGACATGGATCTCCCTTTTAAGGCTTTACATCTTCAGCTCCGCTGGAAACAGCACGACTACAACAGCCTACACCCACAAAGCCTCCAAAAAGTGCAGCAGAGTTGCAAAACCCGTCGCGCAGAAGCACAATGGCCATGTAAACTTCGTAAACCCTGACAAAGACACATACTGTGCAGCTAGAAACTCTCCAGTCACCCCGGACCTCCCACAAAAGGGCAATGCTCCCCAAGGTCCGTCAGCGGAGTCAGCACGACCCGGTCGACGCCACGGCTCACTGCGCCGAGGCACTACAGGGTATGAGCAGATGGTCCGACACCAAGCCGTGCCTGGGAAGCACTTATACAGGGGGCCTAGATATTAACCAATAGCAATTTAGGGTTCCTGATGAGAGCTATAGTATAGTACTAATGGTTAAGGCCCCTATTGTCGGGTAAAGGGGTTTGTGAAGCCGAAGCTCTGGAAAAGTCGCCCGTAAATTTCATAAGAAGGTAGGATTTCAAAAAGTCTAGTAGCAGCTCGTGAGATTTTTTATAGCCTTAGAGTCGGGTTCAGAGAACCTCGATCCCCAACAGCCCAGAATATCATATCAGTAGCATCAGTCATGTGGGTAGTTGTCAAAATTATGGCCCTTTTTCCTAAATATTAGGTGCCGTACTATATTAGGGACCCAAAAAGGGACCATAACTTTTGACAACCACCCATATAGGCCTGAAGTACGACTGCCATCAGCAAGATGTAGTAGGTGTCTCCCAGGGGTGTTGGACACATCGTTCGCTGCTGGCCCTCAACCCAGAGAGCCCAATACCCCTTAATTAAGGAATATGGCTTGAATTATATAGGGATTCGTATTATGATTTAAGCTATATTCCCTTAGTTAAGGGTCATTGGGCTCTCTGGGAAGGTTCCTGCTGTTCAACCGCTTTGACCGCCAGACCCTTTCTCTGGTGTACCGGGAGGAGCCGTTCGCTGATTGATGTGCATGTGGGTGGTTGTCAAAATTGTGGCCCCTTTCTGGGTACCCTAAATATTAGGTGCCGTACTATATTAGGGAACCAAAAAGGGACCCTACTTTTGACAACCACCCATGTATAGATCCGGATGCAAACACGTATCAATACGGTGTTTGTACTTACGCTGGTTTTGAGGTTGGCGGTTTGTGTTTGTGTATATGCCTAGGTTCATGATATATTCGTAGACGAAGGTGCTCTACAAGATGGGTAACTCCGTGAGCTCGTCTCCTGGCTCATTTTCTTAGCAATCCATATCAAGCAATCTGTTCACAGAATGGCATTTCCGCCTTCCTCCAGCAGCTTGGGCCGCTCTCTTGAGCATGAAACCCGCCGAGTGACCAGGAGAAGGATGTGGCCCAGGCAGTCGTGGAGCTCTTCCAGTCCCAGCAGACTCCCCAGAACCCTTTGGACAGAGGCCTGGGCTTTGATTGAAATGGGGTGTTGACCAACACAGTCACAAAGAGTCGGTACCAAGTCCATAAAAGAATTGAAGGGCTCCTGCGGTGGCAAGGGTTGAGGGCATCTTCGGCTGCGTGAACGGCGGGGCCATTCCTTAGGTTTCCTTACTATCATCCAAAGGTAAAAGGAGGGACCCTTAATAAGGACCCCTAGGTATATACCCTTAATATAGCTATTATATGCCCATTATGTGCGCCCATTTTAGGGTATGGGTCCCCTTTAAGGGTCCCTCCTTTTCCCCTTTGATATAAGGATCCATAGACAGCAGCTCCAGGCACCCGTCCTCGGAATAGCCTCCCGAACTACTCGCGGATGAGCACCCAGGAGTTGGAGGTGCGGTGTTCCGAGACACTCCAAACATCCCTTACCCCAACTCAGTCATGGGAGTTCATGCCTAAATTGAGGATCCCCTACTAAGGGCCTGTATTGTAACTTCAGGAACCTTGCTCCATCAAGGGGTTTTGGAGTCTCCTGGCTTTGGCTGTGAGGGTTTAGGATCTCAGGCTTCTCAGTTTCATGGCTTCGCGATTTTTGGGATTGGGGTGCAGTGTTTCGAGGCTCTGTGTTTGGGACGTGGGAAGCTTGTGCACAAAGGCACCGTTATTTTTCATGTGGCTTCGTCGCAAGACTTCACGGTTGCCACTTGAGCGTTCTTATGCGTGGCATCTGGGCTTTGGACTTGATGCGCTTGATGATATAAATCCTGCATTGCCTTCATGATCCTAGAGTGTGGGAATTATGGTATATTCCTTATAATGTCAACCTCCTATCAATAACCCCCCCCCCCCCCCTTGATTGATTTGTCGCCCGGGGTAGGGGGGATTGATTATTGAGGGGGGTCGTCGTCGTAGTACAGTAGTACAGTATCACAATAATTAGTACAGTAGTACAATAGTACAGTATTATAGTACTACAATATAATGATAATAGCACAATAGTACAAAAGTACAGTATTGATACAATAGTACAGTAGTAGAGTAGTACAATACGAGTATTGTAGTAATATTTAGAGTAAGTAGTAATTAATACAGTAGTAGTTGCACGTTATCGCGGCCGAGCAGCTTGGGCTCTCGGCAATTATCGCCCTCTTGCACTCTCACGCAGCCGCTCCTCTCGTCTCTAGATACGTATCCAGTATTGTTTCTTATTTTTTTGTTTATTTGTAATTATGAATTAAACTACATCTCTCTTAGAACTTGTCTAATTACACTCAATCCCCCAAGGCAATGGCCTCCTTGACGACAACCTCTGTGCCGGCTCTCTCTGAGATTGCAGAGGAGGGGCCTCTGTAAAATAAGTAATAAATAAACTCTAATTTCGGAATCCCCTGCAGGCGGGCTCTCTGGCCCCGGCCGAGGATCTCTCGATGATGGGAGACGAGGAGGGTTCAGTGGGTTAAGGGGTGGTGCTCTGGTTTTGGGGGGTTTCTCTTGCCCTGCAGGGCGGCTCTCCAGCAGCGGAGCCCGGCTCTGTTGCCGGAGTTCCTCTCGCGGACGCGGACCAGGCAGCTCTGGGAGAGCTTTTGGACTCTAAGTAAATGGGCTTTAGTATAATAAATCTCGAGGGTTTAAAGGGTTTTTCCCTGCAGGCTCTGGCCGGCCCTGCTCTCGGCGGAGGTGGCGGAGGCTCTGGCCCGGGGAACCCTCTCCCGCATGGCTCTGGACCGCCGGGCCCACCGGCACCCGGCTCTCCTCTCGGGGATGCAACTTGTCTGGAATTCTCTTCATTCCTTAATTAGTTATAGGGTTTAGGGGTTTAGGATATTGCTTGTATTCTCTCAACCTCAGGGATGGGGCTCTGATCCGCCGGTGCTTGGCTACTACACCGGAGCCCGTGTGGTGGGCCTCTCTCTGCTGGTGGTGCGCCTAGACCGTAATTACACCTTAATTAATTAAACCCGATTAAACCCTAATTAATGGTATTGAAACCTAAACCCCAAACCCTAAACCCAAACTCTCAGGAATATCTCTTCGATCCTGGTCACGTACCATCGCTCTGCCGATAGTCTCGGCGCTCTCCGCCGCAGCGGAGGACACACGCGTCTGACTCTGAGAAGGCCCTCTTCTTTCTTTAAGTATTTTCTGGGGGGGTTCGCTTTGTTTCTTAATGGGGGTTGAGTTTATTTAGTGATTCAGTATAGAATTAAGGGACTGTAAATCAGGTGGTTGGACGCCGGGCTCTCGCGCATGCACTCTGAGCCGCACCACACGGCGAACTCTTGGCAGGCGGTTTGTGTCTTCTCTAGATTTCGCAGCTTCTTTTCGTTTTCGTTGTGAATTAACAAAGATAGTAATTACTAGGGTTTAGGGTTTATTTATTAATTAATTATTCATTAATTAATTAAGTTCTAATTACTAGTTCCCAAATCCTCTCAGGCATCATGGGAGCTTTGGGTGCAACTCTGGAGTGCATCTGGAAGCTCCTCCACGAACTCTCGGACGACTCTTAATTACAATGGAATTAACCCGAAACCCTTAATTAAACCCTAAACCCTAACCTTAGTTACTTACTAATCAAACCCTAAAGCCACTCCCAGGAGATGGCGCCAACTCCGGCGCACGTGAGCGAGATTCTCTCCTCTGTGAAATGGCTCTGGGAGGAGTTTCTCGACTTGAAATAATTAATTAATAAACCCCTAAGTAAGCCCTAAAACCCCACTTGAGCCCTGAACCCATAATCAATTAACCCTTAAACCCCTAAACTCTAAACCCTAAGTAACGAATACCCTGGAGGTCCGGGCTCTGCTCTCCAATCTCCGATGCACCGGAGTTTGGGGGTGTGCTTGGATTGTGGTTTGCGAACCAAAGCTCTATCGTCATTGACCGCTGCCGCT